GTTGGCTGCCTTCCTTTCCCGCATGCCATTGGATCGCAGAGAGACACGGAATTGGCTGAGGTCAGGTGGTCCAACATGTCTGCGCCTTGATACGACGCCACACCACACCACACCATACCACACTGTATCAACAGATTAACGCGTGTAGTGTGATATTTCTGGTAAAGTCTGTTGTTTTTGACATATTTTTGGCTGACAATGCCGTTGCTAATTATTCGAAATTGTCGGGGGCATTCTCAATTGATGTTAAATCATCCTGTTTTTTAGACACACTTTGCTACCCATCCGGCATAATTTTAACCATCTATTTATCGAAAATGAGTAGTGAGTGTAGGTTGGGGCTTTTTTAATTTTTACCTGGAACTTAATGAGCACCTGTGAACTATTGTGCGATGTCTTCCCCTACTTAGCTTTTCTGCGTTATATAATTTTTCCATTGATATTAGGTGGTATTCTTGCATGTAATTTTAGAGGCTTGGATTTTTAATTCCTTGAGATGGTTATTTTTCAAAATCCTATCCAAGTTTATAGTTTGGATGAATTAGGTTACAACTTTCAACAATCATTTTTTTCATTTCTCGTGTTTTCATTCAATCTTCATTCTTTCGCTCTATCCAACGAGTTCTTGACTTTATCGTAGCTGATTTTTTTTGTTGGATTACTATGCCCCACCGACACAACCTCTCTCATTTTGCGACTCTTTTTTTATTTTTACATTATCTGTTCGTTGACTTTGTTGATGAAGTTGGCATGGTATGTAATAGCCGGTGAAATCACCACATATTTGACTTAGTTCCTGCTAGTGACGAATTTGTTGGCTCAAGTATTTGGGTATAATTCAATAATTTTGACCCTCAAAGTCATAAAAACATCAATCCAACTACCCCCTCTAGCTTCTCTTCTGTAAAACCCAAAAGCCATGTGTGTTTAACTGGTTTTATATTAATAGATGGTTGGAAGACGAAAAAAGCGGATTTGTCTTTTGCGGCTCTGAATGGCCTCCCTCATTGCTCAATGCTTCATATGGGACGAACTCACTTTCCCGAAGCCAAGGTCTACTCACTCTGGCTTGAGGTGGGTAGCAGCTGTTCTCGCGCAACTGATCTACTCCATTGCCAATCTTCTCTACTGGCGCGTTTTCATGCTGGGCTTTGTCACTTACGTGATCGACAAGCGTCGAATTGCATTCGCGCGTTTTCTTGTTGGGTTTGCTGTGGTGGCCATCGGGTCCATTGTTGCGTCGATTTACGCCTGCCTCGTGCCCATCCGTTTATCGCGATGGCGAGCCACACGTGACAAGAGCCACCTTTTGTGGTTGCTGGTCCACGCGGTGCTGGGACACCTTGTCGTCCTGAACATTTTGGTCCACTTCATGTGTGGTGTTCTTCGGGATCCCGGTCGTGTGCCCCAACCACTTCCACTGGAGGTTAGCCGGACGATGTGTTCTCGCTGCCAGTTGCCAAGGCCTCTGCGGTCGCACCATTGCGGTGTTTGCGGTCGATGCGTCCTGCGGATGGATCACCACTGCCCCTGGCTCAACAATTGCGTGGGACTGCGCACGCACAGGCATTTCTACCTACTCCTCGTGTATCTCTGGATTGGAATCGTTTACCTTTACTTCGCTGGGTGGCGTGATTTTATGTCTCACGTTCAAGACGTTTGCTCTGACGGCGACTCTCCAACAAGAGAGGTAAATGACGTTTGTAAACTATGTTTATTGTAATTACTTGGCACAGTCTAAGCTAGTCTAAGTGCACCATCGCTCATTTGACTTTAAGTAGATGCGTAGTTATCTGTCAGCAGGGCATTTGTAGGGCTCACTGGTGATGTATTTGTGTGAGCTGATGTTTTTGAATGAATTCAAAATAATTTTGTCAGCTGTTACTCATTAGCATGTAGTGTGACCTTGCCAAGAACAAGGATGGAATGAATGTGTTTCCTTTTTAGATGAAGTCACTCTTTATTTTAGGAAAACGTAGTTATCTTCGTTCATTTGCATTTGACCACTGGTTTCTCCTTGATTGAATCATTCCACTTTTTGACATACATGCTGCACATGCATTCACATTCGTTAAGCTCTTACTAAATTAATTGCCTTTTCAAATATAATTGTTTTTTTTTTATTGAAATTACTGTACAATGTGGTTGCATTCGTGACTTCCATTATCATTTTGATAAGATAATTGGCTAATTACGTTTTGCGAAACCAAATTCGATTTCTCCAAAGTTATTATGCTTCTAATTTAAACATCTTCAAATAAGTAAAATCTTGCTTCGATATAACCATTTGAGGTTATCATTCGCAGTGGGCGTACTCACTACTACTCTCTTTCCTACTAATTTTAGTCGGAAACTTGGACTCATTTTGCCAACTGCGTTGTTCATAGGCTTCTTTCCGCCTTATTCAAGTCTACCGTACCTTTACTGGCCTTCATTACAGGCCTTCTCATTTGGCATGGATTTCTAATTAGTCGTGGAGAGACCTTCATCGAATATTATCAAAATAAAAGCGCCGCTAGAATTCTTCGAAGGCATCGACTGATCTTCCGGAACCCCTTTGATTTTGGCGCGATATCGAATTGGCTGAGATTTCTCGGCATTGAAGTCTCCTCTGATGAGAAGGTGATAAGAGAAAAACTACGCAACTTACCAGTGTGGACCTACGTTAAACGCACCCTGTTATCTGTTGTGTTGCTGCTAAACAGCCAACCATTTGATGGTGATGGACTGGAATTTAAAACGTGTGAACCGGATATCGATAGAGCTCTTCGGGACCTTGCCCTTGTCGATGACTGCTGAGGTCGGCAATTTCCTTGTTCTGTGACAGTTCCGTTTGTATTTGCGCGTTTCGCAGTAATTTATAATAAATTCTGGTGCATTGACTGATAGTGATCATCCAGTGTCCCCTCATTTGTGATGGTGTAGAGCATAATGCTTCCAAGCAGCCCTTAGACTTGTTAAAAAACGTAAGATTATGGCAATGAATTTGCTGCTTCGAGGTGTGGGTGTGGGTATTTTTCACAATTTCTCAACACCAAGAATTAGCGTGCAGTTTAATTTCGCACTTAATAAAAATAAAGTGTTTTATGCTTGTAGGAGCATTAATTCCCTCAGCCATTGTTTAGGACTCTTTTCTATACGAATGCCACCTAAAAAATATTTTTCCCCACTTCTCTGCTTGGAAAAATACCTTACTTGAATAACGTTTTCACAGCATTATTCAGCAAAGTAGTAGCACTTGAAATGGCAATTATATCTATAAATAAATCTGACGAGTTTTGAGTAGCAAATATCGCTAAATTGGCGGTCACGTTGTACAAACAGCGTACCTGACGTAAGATCACATAGCAAGTCATATGCGCATGCCCACATAAAATAGAACAAAATTCAGCCAAAATTTTTGTTGCAGGAGTGGTCATTTTACAATTTACTGAAAGCTCATATAGCAGAGAATTTCAATATTTGTTAAAAAATTTACCCAAGCTTTGTTTGATATAGTCTGTTTAGCCTATACAAAACATTTTCTCATGTTTTTATGTTACGGCACAAGAAATATTTATGATGCTTTGCCTATTCCATACAAATAACAAATCAGTTTTCAGATTTGTTTAAGTTTAGTAGGCCTCGATTTTATTCGCCGTTCTAAGTGAAGGATTTCGATTTTGTCGTTATTGCAGTTTGGGTGCATTGTGCTCATTATATACAGCTCCTCAGTCGTGTCCTTCTCTGGTTGGCTGTTTATCTTCCTCGCATGCCATTGGATCGCAGATAGACACGGTATTGGCTGAGGCCAGGTGGTCCAACATGTCTGCGCCCTAATCCGACGCCACACTGCCTCCCCCTCAGCAGTGAAGCTGTC